TGAGCCACCGCGCCGGCCCCTAGAGCAGTTTTAATACAGAGAACAATAACAATACCTTTGTGCTATAGTGAATGGTCACTCTTTCTATGACATGCATTTTAGAATTGTTTGAAAGTTTCTCTATATGTACTTATTACTTTTTCACTCAGAAAAAGAAATAAAGTTAAAACAGCCAGTTCACTTTCATGTAAAAATGAGTGACTGCAGTTTGAAAGTCAGCAGTGTTAGTTCTTGAGAAGGCTTCCTGGAGGAGGCTGGCCTCAAGGTGAGTGGTAGAAGGGGGTGTCTCAGAAAACGGGAGAGTTGTGAACCAAGCTGGCCGTATTTCCAGCACTGTGAGTAGGCCAGGATTTTTGAGCAGAAGGTGAAAGAAAATTTGGAAAAATTGGTTGGAGTCATGTAGTGAAGCAGTCTCATACATCAAGCTGGAGAGTTAGAACTTTCTTTTGAAGCTGGGAGGAGCCGTTGAAGCCTTATGAGCCGAGGAGAAGATAGAAAATTTGATCCTACAGTGGAAGATCTGCAATATGGATTGGAGTGAATGTAATTTGGGGGTCACAAAGTTTTAGAATAAAGGGAAAAACCCTTTCACTATTTCCTCCTTCCTGTCTCCCTTCTCCCTGCAGGGGACGTGGTCCTGTCTGGCTGTAGCACACTGAGTCTGCTGACTACCACGCTGCAGCAGCTGAACCACGTATTTGAGCTGCACCTGGGGCCATGGGGCCCTGGCCAGACAGGCTTTGTGGCTCTGCCTTCCCACCCCGCCGACTCCCCCATCATCCTCCAGCTTCAGTTCCTCTTCGATGTGCTGCAGAAAACGCTTTCTCTCAAGGTTCTGGGGGCGGGGATGGGGCAGGATGTGCAAAGGGCCCAGGAGAATGACAGAGGCTGGGGGTGGGTGGGGGTATGAAAAGTCTGCAGGGTCAAGATCCAGAGTGTGTCAGAGATATGGGTGGTTGTGCTAAAGAAGGGACGCTGAGGAAAGGGAGATCTGCCATGTTCAATAACTGGAATGTTTTTCTTTCAGCTGGTCCATGTCCCTGGTTCTGGTCTCCCAGGGCCCATCAAGATTTTTCCCTTCAAGTCCCTTCGGCAGCTGGAGGTATGAGGGCATTGGGGGATGTTGGTGTACGACACCCAACTTGAGGCAGCCACTTTGGAACGGTTAAGATAGGTGGCCTCTTTTGGTGGGGAGGCCAGGCCTGAGTATACCCATTGCTCTGCAGTAATGTGTTACCCAGTCTCTTCCGTTTAACATTTCCCTGAACCGTAGCTGGGCTTTCTCATCTTCTGCTTCCTCCCCTCCAGGCTAGGTGGGGATGAGGTCTTTGTCGTCTGTGAAGTTCTACCTTCCTCCCTCTTCCTTTCCTTTCCCTAGCTCCGAGGTGTCCCCCTCCACTGCCTGCATGGCCTCCGAGGCATCTATTCCCAGCTGGAGACCCTGATTTGCAGCAGGAGCATCCAGGCATTAGAGGTAAGGAGGGTGATGGGTGGGCTTGGATGCCTTGCCCCGAGAGACATAGAGGACCAAGCTCTGATCTTCTCCCTTCTCTGCAGCCTTCCCTGCTTCCTGCTTCCCTCTAGACAGTGTCCTTGCTCACTCCCCTATGCTCCTATAGCACTCTGTACCTATCTGTATGTTTATAGTCACACCTACCATATTGTGTTAAATATTTTAGTGTCTGCCTCCCCACTATCCCCACAGTGAGCTCTGTGGAGACAGGGACCTGGGCTTTCTTTTAAGTCTGCATCTCCAGATGGAGCCCCATGTATAAAGAATGAATGAATGAGGCCGGGCGCGGTGGCTCACGCTTGTAATCCTAGCACTCTGGGAGGCCGAGGCAGGTGGATCGTTTGAGCTCAGGAGTTCGAGACCAGCCTGAGCAAGAGCGAGACCCC